TTTGCTGTGTTTAAGTAATCTGAGGGATTTTTTTTCACATTTTAGGGATGTAAGACACTTGTAGGAACAATTAATCTTCACAATTTATACCAATTTACACAGAGGTAATTGGTTGTGCCTGAGATCCCATATAGAAGTCACAGTCCAATGAGAGTGACACAAAATGAAATGATTATCATAGTGTGAAAGTTTCATCAGTATAAATGGATGCAGTTCAGGGAAAAGAGAAGTTAGTAGACAGGGATTTCAAGAGAAAAGAATCTTCCTGTACAGAAATGAGAAGTCATGAAATATGCACATTGAAAGATAAAGTTATTTAGCATAGCTAAAACAAAAGAGTTCAGAAAATAATGAAGGATTATGAGGCTACATGGGTAGGCTGAAGCCAGATCATCTTATGTTTCATTCTTAGGAATTCTCATTTAACCATAATGACTCAATTACAAATCTTTAACATGGTCACAATGTTCGTATTCTGCTTATCGGATAATGCAAAGTTGACAAGGCCACCCTCACGTTAAAAAAAAAAAGGAGCAAAGAAAACTGGATAAAACATATGAAACAACAGGAAGGAAGGAAATAAATTAGTGTTGTAAATCCACTGGTTTTAAGGTTGGGAATATTTTGTGAATGACAGAGCAAGAAGGAATAATCTAAGCAGAGCAATGGATACCCCTGAATTGAAGAGACAGAAACTAGTTTTCAGAAGGGTTGGAGCTAAAGAAATATTAGAAAGGTGGGAAGACCTGGATAAGAAAAAGGTGCATGGAGAGAACCCTAGGTATCAGCAGAGAGCTCTGTCCCTGGAAACTCTTTCCAAAATACACATTTGAGGATGTGCTGAAAGATACTCCATGACCTAAGCAAAGCCAGAGCTCATACAGTGCTGGCCTTGTTCCTCATCAGATGGAACACCAGGGCATTTAGGGAAGATCTCAGAAGAGCTATGCATTTTAGTAGAATTAAACTAGTCATAGAGAGTCACTCAAACTCACAATGAAAGCTTTCTTAAAATCTGGAAATGATCAAGCTCTCCTAAAAGTAACTTAAATATCTGCCAGATAAAGCCCAACAGTTTAAAATAAAAATTACAATGTAATCTAAAACTCAAAATGTAAATATCCCAATGGTCAGTATCTAATAAAAATTTCTGGGTTATGTGAGAGAATTAAAAAAAATATGACTCAGATCTAATAGAAATATTAGAGAATAAAAACAGATTCAGAAATGACAGAGATGACAAAACCCACAGGCAAATACAACAAATAAATTATTAAAGTGTATTAAAAGTGAAGAATAGAATGCATTTTTAAAGGAACTTTATAAATTTGAAATAGTTTAAATAAAAGCTTTATTAGAATGTACTAAAAGTAGAATGGACAGTACAGAATGAAAGATAGGTAAGCTTGAGAAATCTGTAGAAGCTTTCCAGGCAAGAACAAAAGAATGAAAGAAATTAACCAAATTTCAGTTTATGGCAGGCTAATATCTTCATCTTTCATATTTTTAATTGGAGTCATAAAGTGGGTTATTAAAATAAAAAATTGTACATAAAAAATACCCATGATGCATCTCAATAAAACCACATCAAAATACAAAACAAACTGTTGCAGAAATTGTGAAATTTTAGTGATGAAGAAAGCATATCTGAAATCATGAAAAACAAAAGGGCATATGATATCTGTACATTCCATACAGAGTAACAAAGAAAGATTGTATATATTTCAGCAGAAAGAAAAGCAGTTTAAAGGCCACAGAGCCAAATACTTAAAACACTGTTAGAAAGCCAAATTAAACCAAGCAAAATACTCAACCTAGAAAAACAAACTTAGAAAAAAATCCTTCAAAGGTGAAGACAAAAATCAAGCTTAAAGAAGAAAAGAAAAAAAAAGAATGTATCACTATCAAAATTGCACTTCTGAGTCACTCGTGGATAAAATATGTTAAAAAATCATTCGAAAATATTTTGAACCAAATAAAAATGAAAATTCAATAAATCTAAATTTAGGGATAACTACAGTTGTGACTTTGTAGGGCTCTTTATTTTTATTTTCTATAAAAGGGAAGGGTTGAAAATCAATGATCTTAGCTTCCACCTCATGAAACATGCCTCTAGTCCCAGCTCTTGAGCAGGCTGAAGAGAGAGGATCACCAATTCTAGGCAAGCCTGAGCAACTTAGCAAGACCATCACTGAAGAACTTAGTGAGACTCTCTGTCTTAAAAATAAAAAAATACAAAGGTCTGGGTATGAAGCTCTCATAGGTTTAATTCCTAGTATCAATCAATCAATCAATCAATCAAGAAACCTTAAATCATTAAATAAAATTAATTAAAACAAAGCTGAAGTAAGGGGTGAATCATGTATCTTGATGGCAGAGCACTTGCCTAGCGTGTGTGAGGCCCTGAGTTCGATGCTCAGCATCACCCACACAAAAATAAATAAGTAAATAGATTTAAAAAAAAATTAAAGGTGAAAAAAGAAATAAACATAGGTAGAAATAAATAAGTAAATTTTTTTTGTGTCAACATACCTTAATACAAATAGAGATATGATAAATGTTGGTATAAAGGTGTATTAAGAATTGTATTGAAAAAAATGAGAGCTCATGTATAATGGCATAATTTGTTGTGAATATACTTAATATACAGAGTTACAAAAAATTGTGCTGTGAATAGATAATCATGAATGTAATGCACTCCACTATTTTCATGTATGTAAGAAATTATTTTAAAAAGGAAAAAAAGAAATAAATAAGTAAATTTAAAAGGGACTATCAATAGAGAAAAATACAGAAAAAGGTGCTTACGTGACAGGATCAACAAAACAGATAAAATTCTAAAGAGAGACATAAGGAAATAGAGAAAATGTACAGTGTCATTATCATTTTCATTAATAGATTAGGTGATGCTAATTCACATCCTACAGACACTTAGAATTATAATAAAGGGATACAATAAGTAATTTATACGAGTAAATCTGATATCTTAGATAAAATGGATGGATTTCTTAAAAGACATGGATTGGTAAACGTTTACTGAGAAATAATATGATACATAAACACCCTATTATCTACCAAATTTTCTAAATTCACAATTACCATTCTTTTCAGAAATAAAGCTCCAGTTCCAGATGAGTTCACTGGTGCATTCTATGAAACATTGAATAAATTACCACCAAGCTTGCTCAAACTTTTTCAGAAAATATAAGGTTGCCATTGTATGGATAAATAAAATTTTCATGAATTTAAATGTATTACTCTTTAACTAAATAAACATCAGGTCAAACCTAGAAATTTTTAGACAAGATAAGACATGACTATATGAAGTTTACACAGGAATACATATTGCTGTAGCCTTCAACATTTAATTGGTATATTCCCCATAATCTGCTGACAATGCAAATGATTTAGAAAACACATTTGACTAAATATAATAATATATTAATAGTAATTAATAATTACTCAGCAATATAAAAATAGAAATCACTTAATTTAATGGATGTTTTATACAAAAATACAACAGGGTGGTAGCATTCCTTTATTATTATTATTAAATTTAGTTGATTTTATTTTTGAGACTGGTCTCCCTGTATTGCCCAGGCTAGGTTCAAACTCATGATCCTCCTGCATTAGCATCCAGAAGAACTGGGCTGATATAATTCTTCATGGTGAAAGATGATGTTTTCTCCCCAGGTTTGGAGAAGTCAAGAATGTCTGCTTCAACCTTTTCTGTACAGAATGTAGTAGATGTAGCCAGGACAATAGTAAGAAAAAGAAACATAAGTAGTGAAACTGTCACCATTTGTAGAAGACATACTTATTAGCAATCAAACAATCGAAAACTATGGAATAGCAAAATAAACTCTTAGAAATAAATGCATTTATTGTGATCATAGTATGGCTCAAATACAAAATGCAATCATTTTATAAAATGCAATGTAAAATTAAAATATAGTTTAAAGTACTATTTAAAATAACATCAGAAATTTATAATTTCTAGGAATAAATCCAATGAAAATGTATAAGTTCTCTAAAATAAAAGCTGTATAAATATCTGGGGAATATTAAAGATCCAAATGGATATAAACTCATGTACATTTACATATTTTAATATGAAATATCTCCCCAAAGAAACCTATAGTTTTAATACAATGCAAATGATTTAGAAAACACATTTGACAAAATATAATAATACATTAATAGTAATTAGTAATATAAAATAGAAATCACTTAATTTAATGAATGTTTTATTCAAAAATACAACAGCTGGTAGAATTCTTTTATTATTATTATTTTATTATTATATTATTATTATTATTATTATATTACTGACATACCCTTTATGTCTTGTCAGTCTGATTTTTCTGTTGTTGCTTAATTTTCAATATTTTCTATTGTCCTACTGTCAAGCTTATTGATCTTTACTACAGAATCTAATATTAATTCTACCTACCATGTATTTTTTTTTATTTTAGACTGTAAATTTCATGTATTTCATATTCTTCAGTTTTTATTTATTTTATTCTTCATGCTTTTTCTATCTTATTGAAGAGCTAGACTATAGTTTTCATCTGTTTTAATGTCCTTATCTGGGAAATATATCATCTGTGTTATTTCTGTGTTATTTTTATGGATTAATTTTGTTATCATCCTGAGTTTTTGTATTCTATCCAGAGATTTTGAATTTCACTTCCTTTGTTGCTTGATAATTTTGTATTTCTTTTAAGATTCTTAAGCAAAGTAGTATTACAAGTAGATTTTCATTTTGAAAATGTAGTGCTAATTTCAGTATATTGGTGTAAATGAAGAAAATATCACTGAAATAAGGAAGTTCAGTTAGAAAATTGCTATAGTAATTTAGGAGACCAATTGCAAGAGTTTAACTGGTACCTAGCACAGTGACTGCAGAATGGTAAAATTGGGTAATTTGGGGGGTATTGTACTGATTCTTAATTAATGCATAGTAATGAGCTATTTGTACTGTCCTTTTTGGTTTATAGAATATTTTATATTGGAAAGCAATTCTATGCTGAAGGAAGCCATCCAGAAGAAGAAGTTAGTAAAGTCAGAAATAAAAATCCTTCATATCGACGACTATGGTAAAGTTTTGTGCATGCTGTGTTATTCAAGAATAACTTTCTCTGCATCTTAGAGGTTACATGTAAATGACTCTCCATCTTTAATATTTTTTTCTTTATTTAAAAGAGCTACCTTTACAGTTGTCCTTTCCCAAAGACTTTATGGATCGAAACCAGTATGCTCTTCTATTAATAATGTAAGTATTTTAATTGTTTTTAAAATAAAGGGATCTAAAGATTGTATATTTCTTATGCTTCAATAAAAAATAGAAGCCTTATGTGTGTAGTTAACTTGGGTATCTGTCATTTGTTTGGATGTGAAGGCAATTATACTCAGGTCCATATCGACCTGCTGTAGAGCCCTGCCACAATGGGAAAGCAGACCAGGGTTAGAGATTATTTCCATTTTCTTTGAGAAACTAACTGGTTTGTCTTATCATTAAGCTCCTGCTTTGACCTTGTTGATATTTTTGACAGAAGAGAAAAGTAAAGACTTTTACAAAGAGCCAATTTAAATATTTGCCTCATTGGAAAGGAAAACTTGCCTCATTTTTAGAAACAAGATGATAAAATTTTTTATTTTCGAGCTAAACCTCAATTCAAATTGGAGCTGTAAGATTTACCAGCTCACTACTTAATTTTTCTAAGCTTCTGCTTCTGTATAAATTAATAGAAGCTAATACTATGGTATTTTATATTCACATATAGTATTTTAATATTAAAAATATTTATATAAAATATATATTAGCATAGTGTTTGGTAGAGCATAAATACTTAGAGATAGTGCATAATAAATTTTAAGCATAGTCATACTTATTATCATAGATAGTAGTATATTTAAGTATTTAATTTTATCAATATAAATATTTAATATGTGATTTGGTTTCCATAAAATTATTTAATGCATAAATATTACTGAAGCATGTAAAGTGGTATAGTCATGCTACAGAATTTACTTTGCTGCATTTTGGCTAATGAAAGAAAGAAAATAAAAATGGAGGGAGGGAAGGAGGGAATGCTAAATCATGTCATGTTATTTCTATTTTTAGATACTGTTTACATTAAATATTAATCACTTTATTCAAACTCCTTAGTTTTTGGAGGCAAATTCCCAGGAGTTAGTTATGCTAAAGATGACACCAAAACCAAACTAAGGATTTTTTATTTAATTTATGTTTATAAAAGTGTTCTATTCTTTTAAATACCATGTTTATTTATAAAATATCTGTGCTTAGAAATATATGTGGGCCACAATGGCATAAGTATAAAGTGTTTTTTTAAGAATATTTTAAACTACTCATAATTTAAAGGCATATCTTCTTCTGATTAAACATAGTTATCAGTAGCAAATTGACTTCCCAGTCTAAAAATAGCAAAAATTAAAATGTTATTTCATAAATGAGCATTTGGACAATGCTGAGGAATACATAGAGTGACCACCATTAACTGAATCTATGAACTGATTTAGTGTTTGGACTGTGGCTGCTTTATTGCTGTTCTGTGCAGTGTTATCTGTTACTCAGCAAATTATGAGCCATTTCTTAATCTGCGGAGGTGGGTTTACATCCAGGAAACTCTATGGAGAAGGCAGGAGTGGGAGACTTATGTACCTGAGTAACTGAAAGAAAACTTGGCCTTGAAGAAAATGGCCCCTGTCAATTTGGTAACAATCTTTTGGCTAAATCTTCATTATGGGACCTCAGAAGAAATGGTCCTCTGAGGACCTCTCTTGGCCATGTGTTCTCTAACCCAAGCCTAATTTTATGTTATTGAAAGGATAAGTTAATTAATGGGAACAGAACATTTTCACTGCAGTAGAAAATCTAAGAGGCTTTGCCACCGCAGAGGGACCTTGGTGACTTGGATTTGCTATGGTCTCTATGTAGTCAGTCATGATGCCCTTTCCCTGGCTACACCTCATCCCACCCCCAGTCTCTCTTCAAATGCTTGTCTTTCTCTAGTCTTTCTGTGTGACACTATGAGTCCTTAAGGCCCCGTAATCTGCATCTATGTCTATATTCTTTATACATCATTGTCACTTTCAACATTTATAACTTGGGTCTATCTTTTTCATATTATTCTTGTTTCCTACTCATGTATATGAAATTTAGTACAACAAATGTATACCATGTTGCTCTATCTGGAAGAAACTATGCTAATGGCTATGGAGAAAGAAACAGATTGCAGGCACAGTTCTGAGTCCTGTTCAGTATATTTTCACAATGCTAGCATACACTGAGGAACCTTTTGCAATTCTGTGATAGTGCAGAACTAAAAGTGATGTAAGAAATATAGTACCATGGCACATGCTTATTTGATAAATAAAATAAAATGTGAATCTAAAAAGCCTAGGTCCTGTTAGAAACAATCCAGAGAGTTGTGCTATAGAGTTTAGTGCCATTCTACAGCCCCATCATCTCATCCCACTATCTACTCTTTTACATCAGCCTATACCTTCCATACTGGATAAATGTCTAATTAGAACAGGCAGCAAATGTTATATGAATTACCAGAATTCAATATGCTCTATTGTGCCTCCCTGACTTTGTTCCCTTCTCCCTGAATTTTTGTTCCCTCTCGTTGAATCCCAGAGAACCCCTGGTCATCCATCAAGGCTAACCTTCCCAAAGCTTTCTTCCCCTCTCCTTCCTACTCCATCTACATTCTATCTCCATCCCTAGTGCTCTCCTCCTCTTACATGGATAGCCTTCTGCAAGCCCCCTTCATGGATCTTGAGACAAATTGGTTGCATTAACACTTTTCAACTTTTATTTTTATGAGGGTACTTTTAGATGATCTTTTTGGAATTCCCATGAGATTTTTGACCAAAGTTTCTGAAACAAGATCCATATTCTGGAAATGAGTACTTAGAGAAATAATTTGTAGTTAAAGGAATATTTAAATATCTTAAGAAAATACAGTTTTTAATCCATTTATTCTATGCATTTCATGTATTAGACAATGCTTGATTGATTTGTGCATTCCTTCTAGCACCTAGCTCTTGCAACAAGAGTCACTCTACAAATATGTAGTGAGTGAATAAGTGGATGAAACTGGTCACTCTCATTCCTTTTCCCACAAAGAAATTCTAACTGGAGAGCATTATTATTTTTATCCAAGTATTCTCATCATTCAAAGTTTTACACACCAGAGTCCTATAATTTGGTCATCTTGATAGAAGTGAGCTAGTTTTGAGTTGTTTTCTTTATAATTAGTGTTAAATAGCATGATATAATTCACTAATTCACTCATAGGGAGTGAAGTTCTCCAGTCACTCATATCCAACAGTTGAGATGACACCGTCCCTGGTTTTATATACATATTTTTCATTCCCTTAACATTGAGAAAGATTGTTTAAGATTGTGATTAGCATCCAGCTCATGGAACCATAAATTCTTGCCTTGATTCACTAGTGTTTCCTCAGAGTTCATCTTCTTCAAGCCCCACAACAGCCAGACATCCTAGTGGGATGATTCAGTTCTAGACTGCCACCTTCCTGTCTACCCACATTTTCTTTCCTTTGGTTTGCAGCTGTGACCTCTCTTAGATGCTTTTCAATTGTACCCTCAGGGCAAACTTGTTGAAATTCCTATCTAAAAATGTAGCTCTCACATCAACCAGCTCCTTCACCAAAGAGAAATCTGGCATTCTTATATCAGAAACCACTTCACTCAGGAAACTCCACCTTCTTGATCCTTCCTTTGTGTGTTTATACAGTTAGTAGTGCACTTAGTTTCTTTGACCCACTGGAAAAAATTCTACTACTTCTTTAACATATATCTCTAGATAATTCTATGCACAACTCTGTTGTAAACATGTAATCATAACAGATATTAATAACTGCAGAAGAATCACAAGTCCTTAATGGAAAGGGTAGGGATTGGAATTGGAACAAGAATTGGAACATTATTGGTATTCAGTAAAAATCAATAGAATGAATGCATGGGTACATGAACAGAAAAATATATAAATCAATCAGCCTAAGTGTTCATCAAGAATGAAATGAGGTGGGAAAACAGAAAGAAGCAAATGACTTCAGACTTTATAATGTGTATAAATTTAGCCTCTACACAAGTCAACTCCTCTGTGGTTTAGTTTTCAGTGGAGTAAAATGAGAGGTGAGTTTCTCATTTCTCTCAGGGTCTTTCTGGATGTGGATAAATGTGGACTGATTTTTATGTCTTCACACTGTGTCTTTACAATTAGATCATTCAATTTTTCTCCTCTAATTGTGACAATTAGTAATAGATACTGACTGTTTATTTTGTATGAGGCCTTATGATAAGGACGTATGGACTCTTTTAAATGCTTACAATAACACGCGAGATAAATATTTTTGTCTCAATTTTAATACAAGAAAATTATGAATAGAATATATCATGTATATTATTCCTGATATGAACACAGCAAAACTAGGTTTTGAACTGAAATTTTACTCATTTATTTTTTGGATCCTAAACCACTACTCTCTGTTCTTAACACTGTTTGCCTACACAATTCACTGTATTATAATTATTGGCACATTATCAAATAACACTAACCTAACTCAGAAGAGGCTTCTATAGAGACAAATTCTAATGTCCTTCTTGTCTTCTTCCTACTTCACAGTGCACAATAATCTCTGGATTGTAACATTTTCCATGTGTATCATATTAGTGCTTTGGTGTAAAATTTTGATCACAGAAAGTAACCGAGTTCCTGAATATTCTATGCGAAAGATCAAATTCTCAGTCCAGACTCTTTGATAAAATTCTGATTCTAAACAAAAAGTTCACTTAATGGGAAGTCTTTACACTCTTTATTTGTTTTATAGATTCCTAGACTTTGAACAAATCAGATGACCAGAGGTAAATTTGTTTTGTTTCCCAATGGTAGAGACAGATATATACCAAAAACCTCTAACATTATGTGATCCTTAATTTTTTCCGTACTAAAAGTTCATTCATTTTACGTTCAGTTTCATGCAAAAATAACACATATACTTGTCTGATATGGACAAGAGAGTGCTAATATTTATTTCAAAGAGCAATTATTACCTTACCATGTAATGATATTCAAAGCTCAGGTTTTGAATTCCTCACATTTATTAATCTCCCTCATTTAAATGGATGGAAAATGTACTCATATTCTAATATACTGGGAATTATTAAGAGGAGAAAAGACAGTGGCATTTAATCTAAGTAATGGAAGGAGAGAA